CTTGCAGACCATAATATATATGTTTGATTTTTTCAGTTTCCAATTGTTTGAAGCGATTATGATAAAAAGTTTAAATAAATGTATTCTTAACTATCACTTTTAAAATAATAATTTAAAATAATAATAGATATTGTGAAATTAATCAATATCAAATTAATACTGTCGCGTAATGGAGAGTGTGTAACGTCATTACACCAAAAATAATAATTTAAAAAGGCACGTCTGGAGCATGCTTTATACATCCTAAGACAGTCAACACATGACAATTAACACACAAGAACAGTTAATTGTAAATTGCCGTTTGTAAGAGAGAAACAAAACATTTTCCAGAAAGGAATTGAAATTATTAGAAAAGTTGCTAATTTTCGAATACTAGAATTTTTTTTGTTTATTTATATAAAAGTAGGCAGTGTGTCGAGAGATCAGTTGAATTTCGGAGCAAAGAGAAGACTGAGAAGAATAACGAAAAATTGAATAGAAAGTGAAAGTGAGAATAAAAGTGGAATAAAATCAATGTGAAAGTGTAACTAGTGGTGAAAAAGAGTGTTCATAGACTGAATTAAACTAGAGCTGTGTACAGCGTATTTTTGTGAACCACCACAAATAACTGTTGCAAATCAGAAGTAATAAAACAACTGTAGTGCAGAAGACGTACTTTAATTTCCGATCACAGAACTCACGGAACATAACAATGATGTAGTATTTAGTTAAACGATAAAGATTAAAATGCACAAAGTGTTCTAATAATAATAAATAGAAACGAGTCTCGTCTTACGAGTCTTACACGAGTAAAGGTTAAATATTGAAGAAACTTTGAACATTTACGGTGCAATTGGAAAAAGCAGCTACTCGATGCGGCTAGAGCGAACTAACTTGTTAAACTAGTTCACCATTATCCTACTTTAATGAAATTGTCTGGTAACATCTATACTATAATCTTTACCCTTTTATAACATCACAACTTTAAGACTTACTTGTAGTTTGTGGTAAAACTAAATTAATGAGTTAGAAAATATAGTTAACTTTGATTATTTCTAACCTGCATTTAATTCTGGAGATCACTAAGTCTTTTCCCATCCTAAGTTAATACGTGTTAATGTTAAACAGATAAAGTAATTCTGACTCATTGAGTAAGTATGAGTGAGTCAGATAATACTACTTTCTAGTTCTACTATGTAAGTTTCATTATACTGTAGGTAATTTTGTATTAACAATAAAATAAATACATTGAAATTACATATAAACTTAAATAAAAATACAAAACCAATGTACACTTAATTATTCCTGTACAAATATGAATTATGCCAAGAATACTAGCAGAAATCCCCCGCGATCTCCTGCTGAATGGACTGCCAATAGAGTGAGGTTATATTTGCTATCGTTGTAACTGTGTTGTTTACTTATACATCTATACAGATAGATAAAATAGAAGTGTCTGTTTGTATTGTCAAAATAACAGCTTTTTACTAAATGAATATGGAATTATATACGGTATATATAAGAAAAATAGAATTTTAAAATTTTGGCCTGTCAGTCTGTCTGTTTGTTCCGGCTAATCTCCGAAACGGCTGAGCCGTTTTTGACGGGACTTTCACTGGCAGGTAGTTGATATTATAAGAAGTAACTTTGGCTACTTTTGTTTCAGTAAAAGAATTAGAGTTCCGGTTAGAAAAGAAGCGAGGGTCAGTCGCTAGTTAGTTTAAATAAAATAGTTATAAAACATACGCATGAGTAAAGCTATAGACTTATGCGAGTATTTTAATAAAATGAAAAGAATTCATTATTTATTTTACAAAGGAGTTCTACCTCCTAATATGACCCATCTACAATGAACGTCGGTATCTACTTATGTAGGATAATAAAAAATCTCATAAAGTGTGAGTAGATTCCACAGATTACTTTCAACAAAAGTCCAAATTATTTTCCATGAATATATATTTTGCTAGCTATAACAATAACAAAAATAAATATAAATGAACAGCATTAGAAAGACCTAAAGTTTTAATTTTTATTAATATAACATTATCTACTGACAAAAGTAGTACTTAGTCGTTACTTAAAACCATTATCAATAATGAATGAAAAAGATCATTCTAATTAAATGAGACGTTATCTAATTGTATTAGTTTGTTGAAAAATTCTTATAAACACATTTTTTTTTCATTAAATTCAAACAAAACATATTATTTACGTAATCAAGCGATTTCAAAAACATAATACAGGTTAAGTAGTCTTTTACGAGACGATAATCAGATATTACATCGTAGTTTCTATACATAAGTACTCTATGAAAATTCAACAGGGTCAGGTCTTTTAGGTTAAATACGGCTTGTAAGCGCTGTAGAATTTGTCGAAATGGCCCTCTTTTTTCATACTTAGTGTAAACACTTTTTAATTTTACCGAGGCCCATGTTCGTGTTTAAATATGTTTTTGGCATTTTTACGGTATTTACTGTACAGTGCTCTCTAGTGTATAGGCAAGGGCGAGTGGCAGTTTGAATAACTGGGTACATAATATAATGTATTATACTAGTATTCACCCAGTGGTCGAAATTCGATAAATATAAATAAATAAATATGTTGGGACATTACAACACAGCACCATCTAGTTCCATGGTAAGCTATGAGGCCTGTGTTATGGATACCAGATAGGTGATACACTACACATATATAACTTTAAATACATACATATTATAAATTTAAATATCCATGAGTAGATTACCTACAAATATTCGAGCTTATCACACAAATGAATGCCCCCAGCGGGACTTTAACCCGTTACCGCTGGCAGAGCAAGCTTATTACAAACTGAGCCAAACGTGTCGTCGATATCATAATGATTATTGAAAATTTGAGGAAAACATATATAAATAGAACTTACCCATCTATATGATATAAAAAGCTAAAGCTCGTCAATAACTACTACATAAAAAATGCAAATCGGTTGACGAACAGAAGAGAAAAAAACTAACTGAGTGAACCAACTGAACTGTTTTGTCTTTGCCTATTTATATATAGAGTACCTGGGCAACCGAGCTTCGCTCGGAGTTTTTGGCCAAGAGTGCAATTTTCTTTTTTTTTAACTAAAAACTTGAATAAATACAAAAAAAAAAAACAAAAATAAAAACTTTGTATCCGACCGGGCTTCGAACACGGACACCTGTAATTGTCAATCTGGCGCCTTTTCCGCTAGACCACAATGCTTTTGCCCGAGCGTGCGAATTTAGCGACCATATTTTATGTGGAATAATGCGAAAGAAAACCAAGTATATTAAATCATACGAAAGATTTTAATTATATATTTTGAAGAATAGTAGCCATTGTAGCAACCACAATTACTATAAACGAGACACGCAAAGTCCTCGTATAAGTAGGTTACGATATGAAACGATTGAATTAGATTTTAGTAATATTTTAAGCGCGATTTTTAAATCTATATATATCCATATAATATACATGTCATGAAAAAATTTACACGAACTACCAACCACTAAAAAAATTGAATAATCTTTAGAAGCTCCTTTTTCCTTATTCCTTACATATAGATAAAGTATTACTAAACTGTTCTAAAGGAGATACTATAAAATAAATTTTACCAATAAATCTTGTATCCGATCGTAAAATTAGTAAAAAATGTACTCCATAACATAATCCCTGCTAACTAGATAAAAGGTCAAAGCCGGTCTGAAGCTATAAATTCACATTCTGAATGTTCTTGGATAAAAAGGACTTAGCGAACTTGCATAAATCAGAGTGGCTTTTACTTACATATTTGAAGAAAATTTGATGTTATAGCGAGCGTAATGTTACTGTTATTTATTTTATATGTACGTTATAATTTTGTTCTCCGTTGATTGAATGATTGATTAAGAAATGTTTGATGTTTCCAATAATATAACCTATTTTTAAAAAATCTGGGAGCTTTGACTTTTTTTTTAAATTGTACTGAAATGACAAATTTAATCATAATAATGATTAAATTTGTCAGAATATGTAATTCTCATATATATATTTTTAAATCTCTATATTTTAAATATTATAAAATGACATCTTGTGTGATGTGTATGTGTTTCCTGACCGAATTCGGTCACGGCGGCCAATCTACTGCGACTAGCCAACAACGCCGGAGATATCATAGTGCATAAGTGTTCCCTCAGACCCAAGTGTATATTCTATCTATTCTGTTACTCTTAAATTCCAATGGGACGATAATTCAACATGACTGGTGAACGATCAGGCGCAGGACTGACGTTCTTCGTGCTCTTCGGGGCACTTCTCAACTCCGGGCTGTTCTTGGGAATCCTTAAAAGAAAAACTCAATAACTAAATTTGACCTGACCCAAGACTCCGAACCAGGAACTCCAATTGTGCAGCCTTACAAGCTAGCCACTACACCACAGAGGCATCTTGTCTAAGCCCCCTGTATACAGAACGTTATTATGTTACATAAATAAAATAAAAGTGATAAAATAAAGCGATCTTACACCAGTAGCAAATCTTTTCGAATGCTATAAAACCCTGCACAGCAGTAAAACACTTCTTATCATAATAAAAGTTTATATCGCGATGATTACGCATTTTTACAGTCTTTGCTGAGTTCATTAAAGACATTAAAATATATGTTCAGCTTCGGCACTATGCCCCTTGTAAAATAAAAGAAGAATGTGTTGACATATTCTTCTTTTATTTTAATTTCTTCTTCTTTATTCTTCTTTTCTTTTAATACTATAGAAAACGATCAATATAAAGACAACAAAAACTTTACCAACATACGAGGTGCCAATAGTCGTAACTCAGGCATTTGTTAGTGTGTTGATTTTAGTGTTTCAGATTGCACTTGTATTTTATATACTTGTGCCCTATAGTATCTCCCGCGTAGATGGCTAGGCTCAGCGAGATTGACCACCATGACCGAAATGAGTCAGAACATTATTTATATTTTTCTTCAAAGTATACAATTATTGTATCTACGAGTTTTCGCTTATTCAAATTTTACTCACCTGTAAGAAAGGAGAGCCTTCTCATAGCAGGAAAGGGGTGATTTCCTGAAGTATCCAGCAGATCTAACTGGTACACTTCGCCCCGAATCCGGTACAATTTACGATGAAAGTCTTCGATTGTAGGCGTGTAGCTATCTTCGAATTTCGTGCCAAGAAATCTTGCGACCAGCGATGTTTTGCCTACACGGGCTGATCTGGGAAAATAAAAATCTTTTAACACAGGAGTATCTCACTACTTATATTTCACAATTAATGTCATTAATTAATAAAGAAATATAACAGATGAAAAAATATTTTGCGATGGAAACTTATATTATAGCTACATACGAGTATATTCATCTATTGGTGACACGTGTCAAGATTCAGATGAGTAATATTTAAGCGGTTACATAATTTTATAGGCTCCACAAATAAGAGAAATATCAATTTCTGGGCGAGACCAGTAAATATATGTACCTATATTCTTTATTGCACATAAAAAAGAAAAATTACAAATATTAACACCTCCGGGTAAATTTCTAAGAAATTAATTAAAATTCTAAGAAATCTATTGTTAACTGACACACCGGCGTGTCCGCGGTCGTGGAGGGAATACACAAATTAAAAAAAAACATAATCTATACATATAATAAAATTATAACTAAGCCGAATCTGTACATTAAATATTTTTTGGAAAATCTTATTGAAACAGACGTTATTATCGATACTGAGACCGAATCTATAGTTTTTAGAATTTTTGTCTGTCTGTCTATTACCGCATCAGTTATATATAGTTAAGATTGTAATAAATTGTTCGTAACACCTGAGATAAATGAATTGTTTTAATTTTTTGTATAAAATACCATTTAATCATAATATTTTGAGAAGAAGGTAATAATGGCCGAAGTGCAAAGTTATAATAGAATTTTATGTGCTTTTGTCTGCCCTACTTCATAATCATGAATTTCATACCTTCATATATTTTTATGCTTTAGGGACTTTTATAGGTATTTTGAATGATTAGAAAAAGGTTTTGTGTCACTTATATACAGGCTGTCATAGCGTAAAATAGTATACAGTACGTTAGAGTAAGTTATATTAAACAAATTAAACCCTAATTTCTCTTATAAATATTTTGTACTGAAACGCAAACATCGAGGTTCTATGGGCAATTGCTCTTGCCAACCTATTCACACAACAAAACAATCATTTTTATTTTAGTTTTATTACTTTGTTTTAGCCGAATAGATCAATAATATATAATAATCAAAAAGTCTTTAAAACAACGTAAAGGTATTTTTTTTTATTTAGATAATCTTAATGACGAATTCTAAGGTCACGTTGTCGACGCAAATAATATCATGATAATAGCATTGCAAAAATTGAACCTCAAGCATATTCTTCGGTGCAAAATAATACTCTACGCTATTAATGATTATAATTGCAACATCTATACATATAATAAAATTCTAATTAAGTCAAATCTGTACATTAAATATTTTTTAGAAAATCTTATTGAAATAAACATTATTATAGATACAGAGGCCGACTCTATAGTTTTTAGAATTTTTGTCGGTCCATCTGTCTGTCTGTTACCACATCACAGAAAAACCACTGGAGGGATTTTGATGAAATATGGTATGGTGATAGCTGGTTATCCGGATCAACATACAAAATGTCTCATTTCTGAGAAAAAATACAAAAACTGCAATGTAAGAGTGTACTAATATGTAAAACCTAAGAATTTGGTTTTTGGTCATCTAAACGCGGGCGGAGTCGCGGGCAATGCTAGTAATTAACTAAAACATTGAGTCAATTGAATGACGATTTTTAAAATCCTTGTTTAATTATTTTAAATACTGAGACGATGAATAATCTGAAGCATTGATATAGACATATATATACATATAGAGTTCCTATAACTTTCATATTTCATATTTTTTGTTACAATAACGTCAGCTATGTATCTGGCAGGCTGTAAGTTCGATTATCGTACAGAACAAATATAAACATAGCCGCTTCACTCGAAGGAGAGCTAGCATGGTATGCAGCCCAAAAGATAAACCCATAAATGGGGCCAAAAGAACAAAATAATTTTCTGTCATAAGAATCTCGATAGTAAAATGAAGCTTGAAAAGCTCGCGGTGTTACACCGCCATGTAACCATTCCTGATCTTCCTGCAAGTCATTCTGTCATCCAATTAGACTAAGAGATTGAAAGAAAAAGATAATTGAAGATAGACCAAATCATAAATATACTTCTTCACATATTATGGACTATGGTATTAATTTAAACTGGCTGCCTGAAAACAATTTATACATATATTCTAAAATATCAGAATTTCAGAAATTGAACCGGAAGTACAGTGTATAAAGTAACAAAAATACACCTTATTATGTGTTTATACATAAACATAAATACATAAAAATATATGTTATTATATAAGCATTTTTATTATTTGACATTAAGAGCAATAAGCGATAACCCAGCACATTCATGCGAAATGATCCAAAATAATCCACCAATATATATCCGGGTCTTGAAAAAGTTGAGAGGCTTAAGGATGGTATTCATCCTATAGCTCTACTCTAGAATAGGTTATAGAGGGAATATTGTGAGGCAGTCATTGACCCAATTGCAATACGAATACGATTCCTTAGATCAAACAATACTGGCATAATTCTTTAATTGGAACCGTGATACTTTAATTAAGTGCTTGCAATCCAATTATCTGTTGTTATTCAATCGCCACGCAAATGAGCATTTCTATTTGTGTTTGTCTTTGTATATGAATTCGTTTAGTTATGAATAGCGTAAGCTCTTTATAAGTACCCCATTTTCTAACGACCATATTCACGTGTGATATTGATGATAGGCCACAATTAAGTTTTATCACTTTATAATAATGTAAAAGTTTCCTTAGTTATGTTGTTTTTTTATACATATTAATTTGATTTAGAAAATATTTCTAAATCCATTCAATATAAATTGAATGTGGAAATCATGAATTCAATTTTAAAATAAAGTTAATTTTATCAAACTTAATCAACAATTTCTCTCTAATAAAACAATTCTTATAGAAGTTAAATGGATCTTTAGGGACTAATATAGTCTAACTCGTAGTCTAGAATGGTGGATGCATTTACGCGTCGCGTCATTTCCATTACTTTATGAAAAATTAGTAAAAAATATTTTTTGTGGGTAATTTAATTTCTATCTTCTTATTTATCTTTTATAAAAAAAAGTTCACAAGTAAATAATTAAGGTTATACTTAAGTAATTTTAATAAGGTCAAAAATCACACAACTTTACAATATTACATGTAAATGCTGTGTGTATGTATACATGTTTGTTACTTCTTCACGCCAAAAATTTAGTACTCAGATAGCTGATATGACCTAAACTAAAACACAGGCTATTGTTAGAAATAAAATTCGTCAAAAGGTGACGCTGGCTGCATATAGGTAAAATTATACATACAAAAGGCACCTAAAAACACACCTCATCATTTTCTTTTACTTGAATGTGAATAAATGCTTTCGTGTCACAATCATTATTAAGCCTTCAAAAAAATGTTACTAACTCCACAGTTAAGTGCTTGCAAAGCACTATTTATGCACTATTCGCATTACAAAGTGCAATAGACCAGCACGAAACGATTTGTTGCATTCCTTAAACTGAAATAAATGGATATCTAAGTACTACAAAATCAATTCCAATTTATATACCGTATTTGTAAAAGCTTTTCAATTACAATTATTTGTAGAATACTTTAACAACTGCGCTAGAATTGAATGGAACAAGAAATAAAACTATGAATAAGAAATAAAACGTAACAGTTTAATGACTAAAGTTTTAAGACCATATACTAAAATAGTAAACATTTTTTAAAATTCAAATAAAGGTTGTTGGTATTTTTAGGTCTATAATATAGTTTATTTCTATAATTTTTATTTGATAATGAAATGCATTTTATTTTTTGGTAATGAATGTTATTGCAATATTAAAAATCTTAGTAATACATTATTATCAATCATAGGATTTTAAATCATCAAATATTATTATTTTTCTGAAGATAATGTATATATAATTATAGTGTCATAATAGCCTAAGAAAAGTGTATGTATGTGCGTCACTAGTAATTCATTTGTACCTTGCATATAAAATATCAGAAATACCCCGACACGCTAAGTTTGTGTTTGTTCGAGTTATACAAAAAAACTATTATTCGGATTTTCTTAAGGTTTTCACCAATAAAAAGAGAGATAATCTAAGTTTTACGAAAACATGAACATTTTACGAAAATAACCTATCGATATGATAATATTTGTGAATTAAGTCAGAGTATCTTTCCCAAGCTAATACACTAAGGCAGTGGTAGCTCAGTGGTAACGCGCTCGCTTGGGAAACCGAGTGAAGCGAGTTCAAATCCCGGGTCTCGCACCTCTGATATTTTCATGTGCGAATTATTTCCAACATGATTACCACTTGTTTTAACGGTGCAGGTTAAGTTTAAGGGTTAGAAGGAAAGAAGCTTAAGGGTAAGTTTTAAAAGACCATGTGAAGTCCGCCAACCCGCACTTGGTGGACTGTGGCCTGATTCCCCTCGTACTGAAGGGAGGCCCGTGCCCAGCAGTGGGACGTAAAAAAGGGCTGAATAAAATCCTTCCCAGGGTCACCAGAGCGAAACGTGGATAAGATAACTTTTTATTAAAATAGTATATAAAATTGTATAGTTGAACAATAAACAAACAAAGATAATGCTTATAAATGAGTTATTTATTCCTTCCTATTACGAAACTTTCAAATCCTTTTGGTTTCCCGTGGTGTTTATTTAGGTTGGTCTAAACTTCGTCTCTCGAGACTGCCGCTAAACAAATCTTGGGACTTTAATTTACCGCCGTCTGTGTTCGAGACGCGACGTCATTGTAATTGGAATAACAGGTCCTGACATAAATAGTAATACTTCATTTTATATTATCCTAGTTTTCGACCATATTCGACCAAATTTTGTTATCATTTTCTTTATTGATAGCACTAAAGCTTTTTAATACTGAGCTACTACTGTTTTGTATTTGTGTATTTATGAAAAATATTTTTATTCTGCCATTTACACTTTATAATTTTGAGACTTATTTTATTATTTATATTCCTGTTTCTATACTGTATGAAACTTTTAAGCCTACTCTTATGTTCTAGACAATTTAGTTGTAT